CTACCCTTTCTCCCCCTCACCTCCTCCTCCTCCTCCGGCCTCTCCGCCGCCTTCACCCTTTCTCAGCCGTCGCCTCCGCCGCCTCCCGCTTTTCCGGCCTCTCTTCCTCCTCCTCCTCCCTCTCTTCTACTTCCTCCTCTCCCATCCTAGCCGCTCCTTCCTTCTCGATTTCTTCTCCGCCCTCGCTCTCTCCGCCGCTCTCCTTTTCTTTCTCAATCTCGCTCTCCCTCGCCTCCCTTCCATTCGATTGTTCCTTGCTCGCTCCTTCCCGATCAAGCTCTCCTCCGCATCCGGACTGCCCAGGGCGCCTTTGCCGGTCTTCTGGTCCATCGGATCTCGCCCCAAGTCGGAGAAACGGGGAAACTCCGGCTGCTGGGTCCAGGTCTACAGCAACGGTGACGTCTACGAGGGTGAGTTCCACAAGGGCAAGTGCTCTGGAAGTGGCGTTTATTACTATCACATGAGCGGCAGGTACGAAGGCGATTGGGTCGACGGCAAGTACGACGGCTATGGCGTAGAGACGTGGGCCAGGGGCAGTCGTTACAGGGGACAGTACAGGCAGGGGCTTAGGCATGGATATGGGGTTTACAGGTTCTACACCGGCGACGTTTACGCCGGAGAGTGGTCCAACGGACAGAGTCACGGTTGTGGAGTTCACACCTGCGAAGATGGCAGTCGATATGTTGGGGAATTCAAGTGGGGTGTCAAGCACGGCCTTGGCCACTACCACTTCAGGTATTTCTTCCCGTGCTTGCACCATCTATGGCGTTGTGTTTGTTTCTTCCCGCAATAGCTGAGAGATTCTTAGATAATTTACTTTGTATGAATTGTCCAACTAGTCAAGCTTACACTCAAGTATGGTTCTCAGGGAGGGGGTTAGGAGAAACTACTATAATTCGTACCCTCCTATGGATTAGTGGACACTTTAATCTCTACTTTTTATCTAAACCAAAAGTTGATGGCTCAAATACCATGAAAAAGCTTCTGTCCTATATGCTCGTCTTGGCCAAGTTTTAGTGAATAGCATCAAATGTTAGTCCTAGTTGCAAAGCACTATTAGGCATCGGTAATGCCCAAATATCTACCTTGCTAGAGCTTGCGTGTATGCTACATGTTCTACTTGCCAGGCTCGGGAAAGCATTGGTCTAGCATTCAACACTATTCACATTTTTTCTCCATATATATTTGAGTTTTGGCAAGTTCTAATAAAAGAAAACCATTGCCTTATATGATCTCCATCTTTTGAGTCAGTTCTGGGTATAGGATCTGCTGTCAGATTGGTAGATTCGGTTACAGTAGGTCCTGAATATGTGTTTTGACTGAAAGTTGAATGAAGGTCTTTACCACTTTGTTTGGTTGCCCATGCTCCAGCCAATTGTGTATTCCGGCCAGTGGGGTGGTTTCTTTTTCGTTTCCCTCTGGTTCAGCACTCTTGTCGTTAGTTTTCGTTTCTTGATATGGCATGTACCACAATCAAATGCCACATTCAAGTGTGTAGGATTCTCCCTTTGAAGCTAGCTTTTAACCGGAGGAGGAGCTTGTATAACATAACATGCCTCCATTCTGAAACTAATAATCCCCTTGGCCCACTTCCACTTCTGGGTTCCCCGATCTCTTTTGGCCCTTTCACGATGTGATTGGCCTACGAACTTGATATGAACCAGATCCATTCTAGGTCCAAACTCATTGCAATAAACATACGTATAGAGCTCATCCCTAAAAAGGTAGTTAAAGGTGCCATATGTGTGCAAGACATCAATCCATCTCATACTTTTGGTCTATGTGGAATCATAATGGTTCTCTTGAAGATCCATCTTGTCCCATTTCATGTTCTTTTTTTTTTTTTTAAATTAGGAACGGCGATATATACGCTGGAGAATACTTTGCTGACAAGATGCATGGTTTTGGCGTATATCGGTTTGCAAATGGTCACCGATATGAAGGAGCTTGGCACGAGGGTAGACGGCAGGGGCTGGGATTGTATACATTTAGAAATGGAGAAACACAATCGGGTCATTGGCAAAACGGGATCCTTGATGTTCCAAGTACGCAAAACACTACGTGTCCGGTATCGCCAGTTGCTGTCAACCATTCCAAAGTGCTAAACGCGGTCCAGGTGTGTGCTCTCCTTAACTCAAACTTATTCGATATGGTAGGCTCTTGCATGTGTGTGTGTGTATATATATAGCCGATGAGTAAAGAGAGTATAGGTCGAAGAATGATGATTTTTTGTCAGTCATTATAACAATGATGCCAGTAGAATCAAGGGTTTTTTGGTAAATGTACAGGAAGCAAGGAGAGCAGCGGAGAAGGCATATGACATAGGCAAGGTTGATGAGAGGGTCAGCAGAGCAGTTGCCGCAGCCAACAGAGCCGCCAACGCTGCAAGAGTAGCTGGCGTCAAAGCTGCCCAGAAACAGATTCATCCTTCTAGAAACATCGACAACTTCCCATTTCATGTCGTGTAATACAGTCTGTTAGCCAACTCCAGTTTTCTGTATACAAATCCTTAATGAAGATAGCAGAAGAAATGAATGAAGCGCCCCTTTATTTTATACGGCATACCTCATAGGCTTAAAGTTTGAATTTAGAAGACCAAATGCTTGGGAGGTCCAATCTTTGCAAACCTACTTAAAGGTGAAGTAGAAGGCATAATGGCTAATGTGCTGGAGGTTTCGCTGTGAGCTCTTTGCTCGTCCTGCTGCCTAGGGAAATGATACTGTAAACTGTAAGAAGTTCTTGCACCCGAGTGAGTGCACAGCATGAATAGACACATCATGGGCCTTTTTTTTGGGGGGTTATGTATATTCGAATAACTTCAAATCCACAACACTGATGGATTGTCCAAGGGAACACAAAAAGGGTGTGAATAAAATTACAGACAAAAGATTTGGCTCTCAGTCTGCTCCCTCAGTTGCCGTTCCGTGTGGCACTTCTCACATAGACAAGAAGTAAAAAATCACCAAGGTCAAGATCTCCTATGAAGAGAGATTCATACGATGTCAAAAATGACACGACTTATTCTGAAATGCACTAAGAAGCATGAAATTTTTTTGGTATTTCGTATTGGAATTAGATTATATACGTCTTTGATATATATAAACATGATATTCGTCTGCAAACCCATTTAACTATTCAAGAATCTATCGACATATTCAAAATAACAGACACTTCTTTTCTATTATATTAGGTCAAGTCAAACAAGTTCCCAAGCAGAAGCTAAGGACAGCGGCATTCCCATACTTGGAATTGGAAGCAGCGAGAACAAGACTCAGCGTTGAGCCACCGTTTCAACGTCAACTTGGATTTGACGAGGGCATCTAATCTATCTATCTATCTATCTATGATCTATCTACGCCCTCGTTTGGGCCAAAGTGGGCCTGACTTACATCTGAAAATTCGCGATCCAGTACTGGAGAAGAACTCCTCAGCGTTTTAAGAAACATAAAACGCTGTGATGTTTGCGGAGCACAAAATCACGACATATCGCCATGGATGTGGGGCATCTCTGACTCGTCTTCCTCACGCGATTTCTGTTCGAATCTCTCTCTTCTCTCCCTCCGGTAAAATTGTTCGCAGGAAGCATGTACCCGCCGCCAGGGATTTACTCGCAACCGATGCTGGTGAACTGCTCCAGTTGTCGGACGCCTCTCCAGCTTCCTCAGGGCGCTCGATCCATACGCTGTGCTCTCTGTCAGGCGGTTACGCACATCGCCGATCCCCGCACCGCCCCTCCTCCATCTTCTCCGCCGGGTCAGCCTCCTCACCCCCACGGCAGGAAGAGGGCGGTGATCTGCGGTATTTCCTACAAGTACTCTCGTCACGAGCTAAAAGGTTGCATCAACGACGCCAAGTGCATGCGATACCTCCTCATTAACAAGTTCAACTTCTCTCCCGATTCCATTCTCATGCTCACCGGTATTTTTTTTCTACTTTCTTTGTGCAACGATGAGTTTTTGTCGATGATGAAAGTTCCACGCGTATGCTGTTCGAAATCCCCATGGCTACTGTTCCTATGCTTTGGAACTTGGATATTAGCGGCCAAGGATAAATCCAGTAACTGTCGCACTATTCCTGTATCTCAATTGTGTAGGATCCTTTTTTTCCTCTTGTCGTCCGTTCATGCTCCTTTATAGTTAGGATGCAGAAAATGTCATTCCTTTCTGAATCTGTTTGCACATTCCCGTTATATCTGATACAATCCGCCAGTAAGCGGAGGATGAAGTTATTTCCAAGTTTCGTTCTTTCCGCAAGCATCTTGCTGTTTGGTCACTTTTCTCTCATTCTGGATTCTTGATTCATGCTTGCATATTAAATGTCGTTTACGGCTCGCTAGTTACCATTTCACATATCAGAATGCAGGACCGTAGTGACAAAGGTTGGAAACATATTGCTACTATTCCATTTGCTCCCCATCTGGGTTTCTGATACACGTTGGTACATTTGACCTCAAACTGCTCAATAATTATCATTTAGTATCAGAATGCAAAATTATGGTGTTAAGCCTAGGAAAACTTGCGAGCATCTTGCTGCTCATTCGGTTTCTTTTCATTTGGATATGAGTTGTGCTTCATGTTGAATCTCTCCATGACTAAAATGTCCTTTCTGGGTCTTGTCTGTCAGTGATTTCCATGGTTGATCCTTGTACATAATTTTTATTGCAGAGGAAGAAACTGACCCATTTCGTATTCCCACCAAACAAAATATGAGGATGGCATTGTATTGGCTTGTTCAGGGCTGTAAAGCTGGAGATTCACTTGTTTTCCACTATTCTGGCCACGGTTCACGTCAGAGAAACTACAATGGTGATGAAGTTGATGGCTTTGATGAAACACTTTGTCCTTTGGATTTTGAAACTCAGGGCATGATTGTAGATGATGAGATCAATGCGACCATTGTTCGTCCTCTTCCTCATGGCGTCAAGCTCCATGCTATAATTGATGCTTGCCATAGTGGCACTGTGCTGGATTTACCATTCCTCTGCAGAATGAACAGGTTAGTCCCTCTCCACCTGCAATGGGCAAAGTTTTTTTTGTACTGCTTGCCTTTCTCCTATAAATTTTGTGTTTTCGATCTATTCATCAGGGTTCTCGGTGAGTTAACTGCTCAATCCTGTGTTCAGAAGATGCCCATTACTATAATACCATTATACGATTGACTTTCTATTTCATAGAAATACAGATGTTTAGCATGACTGTTGACATTATTCAATAATATTACAGTTGCCAAAAATATTCAACATAGGCTTTAAGCTTAACAAATATTTCAACGAATCAAAGCAACATTATATTGAATAAAAAGTAAGTATTCAGTATATTGAAAATAAATATGATAGTGATCGATGAGGTTCAGGAAAACAAAAGTGTAAAATACTGCATATTTTTAATTATAAAATTTATTGTTATAATTGCAAGTCTTTGTTATTTCAATTGTAAGTTTTACAAGGGGTGGGTAACATGGATTTCTTAAAAGGATTATAAAAAAGGTGATTTTTTCGTCTTCATGTTTCCAGCAACCAGCTTTGCCAAAAGGCAATGTCCCTTCATCATCCTAATGTAAACACTGGTAACATGGGATTCTTGTGTGCATGCACGACCATATGTGAGCAATTTCTCGACTTTCACGGTGAAAATTTGGGAGGGGAGTCTTTGGGTGCGTCTTTCTTTGTTTGAGTTGGGAACTTTAGGAATGAGTGGGTGGAGGACCCTAGGATTTCGTTGGGTGGCTGGGTCTCTGAAACTTAGGGTTAGCCGCCAAAGGCTGATAGTCTGTACCTCTGTAAGAGAACCTCTTTACGTTTGGAATAAATCATCACAGAATTGATCAAAGAAAAGGGAGTCGAACTGTGTTTAAGATACACCAGTCTCCTCAAATTGCGGCAAAAGTTCTTAGAAAACCCTGGTTAAACCCATAGTTCTTAATTGCTAATAATTGTTGACGCAGATCTGGACAATACATGTGGGAGGATCATCGTCCGAGGTCAGGCTTGTGGAAAGGAACCAGCGGTGGAGAAGCCATATCTTTCAGTGGGTGTGACGATGATCAGACATCTGCTGATACATCTGTAAGTCGAATGAAGCCAATCATGCATCTTTCAATTATGGTTTCCGAGTTTCTTTCAGGACATATGTACATTTATACACACATGGATACGCATGCATACATATAGGCTCTGACCAGTACATGCGGGTGGACATTGACTTTGCCTTTGGTACAAACATTTCCAACTACATCAGACACGTCCAGGTTGTAGTTGTATGGACAGATGATTTGTTTGATTTTATTATATATCAAATAAAACATCTTGACAATTTTAAGTAGTGTTCTTAGTAGTCATGTTCATAACTTCAAACAACTAGACACTCTACCACATTTATCAACAGCCAAAAGCATCTGAGTAGTAACAAGATCTGGCTGCAACTGCCTATCACAGAGTGAGCTACTTTCTTGAGCAGTGATATATATATAATATTCCGTGGGTATAACAGGCATTGTCAAAGATCACGTCCACGGGTGCTATGACTTACTGCTTTATCCAAGCAATAGAACGTGGACAAGGAAGCACATATGGAAGCATTCTCAACTCGATGCGTACTACAATAAGAAACACGGGGAATGACATGGGTGGTGGAGTTGTTACAACTGTGGTGAGCATGCTTTTGACTGGCGGAAGCGGTATTGGCGGATTGAGACAGGTATTTGCTTTTACTAAAGTTGATGTTACGTTGTTATTTACTGTTGGTATCAGACGAGTGTTCATGGTGCAAAAATGGGCGAGAGTCGTGTGTGTTAAATGTGAAAGGCAGAAACTCTAAGATAAAATGTGAAATGGATAAACCCCGGGGTAAAAAATCAGGTACAACAAGGCCTTCTGCTTTTGATAGTTAGGATCTGACCTTCTTTTGTTTTCTCGAATTTACTGATAGGAGCCTCAGCTGACAGCATGTCAACCGTTCGATGTCTACGCAAAGCCGTTCTCTCTTTAATAAACAAAACGACTACAGGTTTCTGAATGTATAGAATCCATTTTTATGAGCTAGTGGAGAGGGAAAACTATGGTATTTGGTTTTCATTGTATTTCAATAAAGTAGTCAAACAAACGCCAATTATTAAGTGATTGCAGATTTCTCATATGCATATTATTGTCTGTATAAAGAAAATCTGATTACATATTTTGTTTTACGATTTACCTATGGAGCCAGAAGAAAACATGTTGATTTGTCTTTTTTATCGTTGTTGTGAGCCGAGACAATTTTGTTTCTTTCTAATAATGAAACGCATTGTACAAGGCAATAGGATCATAAGCGATTTGCGTCGCAATTTGCTTTAAGTTTCAGCACAACTTCCCGGCGACCTCCGTGTCGCCGCAACCTTCCCTGGTCGTAGACCAATAAGAGCTCATTCCCAGTCAAAAAAGAAATGGATCAAACAAATAGTTTCATGGAAGTTTTAGAGTCTTAAGCATAAGGTTTAGGGTATAGGGTGTAGAGATTTGTGTTAAGGAAATAGGGTTTAGGGCACGTCGGGGTTCGAGGGTTTCGCGTTTAAAGTTTAGGGTTTAGGATTAGGTTAAGGTTTAGGTTTAGGGTTTGGGATAGGGTTCGACATTTAAACCCGTTATCCGTGGGTTTGCGGACATCCGATCTCGCTGGTACTCGAAAAACGGATTTTCGACACACTCAATGACAACGAAAACGAGTATTAAAATATAGAAAATCCGCATGACGGGTATGGGTTCGGGTTTCAAAGATTCACTATTTCCCAATAATGAATCTTCCAATGATGTGAAAGAACCCAATCCTCCTTGCAACGAAATGTCTTCTTCCTCTTCATTCTCACTGCTCTCTCTAAACTCGCTGAAACTTCATCTGGGTCCTCCTTTATCTCCTCGATACTTCGTTCTCCGATGCCGACAGATCCGACGACACCCATATTGTAATACCCGAAACCCGATTTGAATATTTAATTATTTAAAAATAAAATAATTAAATAGAGATATCACGAAATCACCAAAAATAAAATAGTACAATGTCGAGGAGAGGCACGAGGATCATCACGCGCGGAAAGGATCGAGAAGAATGAAGAAAACGAAAAAAAAAAGAGAAAAACAGGGTTGGTCCGCGGCAGACCAACCACTCAGTCGGACTGGAGGGAAATTTCGAAAAAAAAATAAGATTCCGGTCCGGCGGACCAGGAGTTGGTCCGGCGGACCGGGACCCGACAGTTCGCAGCTTGCTTTGTTGCAAGTTTCGGGACGCGAGAACTCGTCGGAAATTGAGTCCACGCGCGTCCAACCACCGCCCGACGCCTTGAGGATGTTGCAGGCTCGCCTGTGGGCCGGAGCTTGAGCCCATCAACTCTCCATCGCGCGACATAAACCCCTCCCAACCTCCAGATTTAGCCATGGCGAGCTGAAAGAGGGGAGAAGAAAAAAAGAGAGAAAGGGGGAGAGAGGAGGCGGACCAGAGAGAAAAGAGCTCGGAGAAACCAAGAGGGACGTGTCCAGACGTGTCCCGAAGCTTCTCGCGTCGTGTGGAGCCACGAGAAACTCACACGAGCTCGGATAAGCTCAAGAACAAGGTGAGTGGCTTGAGTTGGATTTGTGAGATCCCATTTTTAATGTTTGATGGTGCAATTTGAGATTTCCTTGCGTGTTAGAGGCTTATAACATGTCTGGAGATGTAAATCTATGTTTCCATGGCATTTAGAAGCAACCCCGAATCGATTAGAGTGAGAAAAATTGAAGCAGAACCAGAGAAATTGCGAGGAAGAAGAAAGTTCCAGTCCCGGTCCGCCGGACCACGCGTGGTCAGCTCCGGACCAGGACTGGAACAAAACACGTCCGGTCCGCCGAGCCAGGAAAGAGAGAACAGACCGAGAGAAGAACACGCCTGGTCCGGGACTGACCAGTCCTGGTCCGCCGGACCAGACGTGTCCGAGGAGGCGCACTCCGTCTGAGCAGGAGAGAGATGGACCAGACCAAGAAGATGACACGCCTGGTCCGGGGCTGACCAGTCCTGGTCCGCCGGACCAGACGTGTCGGAGTGAGGGCACTCCGTCCGACCAGAAGAAACGGACCGAGAGAGGAGAAGCAGGCTGGTTCGGGGCTGACCAATTCTGGTCCGCCGGACCTGACTTGCTTTCTCTCTCGGACCAACTGACCCAAGACGGAGCGGACCAGGGGGACCAAGATAACTGGTCCGGCTGACCAGAACTCGGTCCGCCGGACCAGGCTCAGAAAAATTGGAGGAAAAATTTAGTTTTCGCCAGGACGTTGTGTGGCGTAGTGAGTTGTGCGACATCAAAATATGAGTGATCGTTGTGTGATTGTTTGTGGGTAGAATTGCATGGCGTGGAACGGTAACTCGGTAGGGACCGGATACCGTGATACGTGTGATTGTATTATGGGAATGTTGCACGTTGTGTGCCATGTGTGTAGCTTGCTCGTGCGTACGAGTTAAACGTGATTGTGTTTGTGGATGGTTGTGGACTCAACCAAGCTTAGTAATTGTTACTATGTTTCTGCGATTAGCAGAAACATTATTTCTATTTCATATCTGGATTTGGATGGTTTTCGATTTGTGATTGAGAACTCGAGTTTGATGATTTATCGAGACGATATTTACTATGGTAATGGTTATCTAGTTAATGGTTTATATGTCTTGAATGATTAGCCTTCGAACTCGACATCATCCATCTATAGCGTGAGTACTAAACGATTTAAGCCGAACGACTTAAATCCGACCTTCCTCTGGCATTGTCGTCTAGGCCATATAAACGAGAAGCGCATTCAGAAGCTTCATTCTGAAGGTCTTCTGGATTCATTTGACTTAGAGTCTCTTGAATTTTGCGAGTCTTGTTTGATGGACAAGATGACAAAGCATCCTTTCAAGGGGAAAGGACAGAGAGCGACAGAGTTATTGGATCTGATACATAGTGATATATGCGGGCCAATGAGCTGTCCAGCTAGAGGAGGTTATCTGTATTTCGTTACGTTCACTGATGATTTCAGTCGATACGGTTATGTCTATTTGATGAGACATAAGTCTGAAACACTTGAAATGTTCAGGGCCTTCAGAAACGAAGTACAGAACCAGCTTGGCAAGACGATCAAGACACTTCGATCCGATCGTGGTGGCGAGTATATGAGCCAAGAGTTCACTGACTATCTGGTTGATTGTGGCATTGTATCACAATTAACTCCTCCCGGAACGCCACAGTGGAACGGCGTGTCTGAACGGAGAAACCGAACACTGTTAGACATGGTTCAGTCAATGATGAGTCAGACAGATCTTCCGAAGTCCTTCTGGGGCTATGCTTTAGAGACCGCCGCGTACCTGCT